ACCGTTTATCTGTTGTCCTGAGTATTCTTGGCAGTCCTTCGAAAACCATATTTTTGGCGTAGCCAACAACTTCCCAGACTAGGCCAACTGACGAGTTGGTTGGCAGTACAACCCTCCTCCTTCCACCAAGTAGCGTGTGTTGAGCAGCCAGTGTAAGCTGGTGATGTATTGCTGATATCTACAATTGATCCTTACAAAATATAACCAGCCTCGACGATGGGGCCCTGATCAACCTATGTGGTGTATAATATCAGTAGGTATTGCTTGTGTACCCGTTAAGATGTGCCGGGTAGGTGGAGGTCCGGTCGGCGTAACCAGCATCTCATCAACTGATAGCAATGCTACAGTAGATGAGTGGGTATCTCTTTGGCACTAAATTCCGCCAACTTGTTAGATACTATGCATTACTTACACATTTTCGAATCGAAACGAAGGAGGACGGCTTTCTGTTCATGCTGGTGCCGGATTACGAAGTATTCTATTCGGCACACCCTTCTTGTTGTGAGCCGTGTGTAAAGTTCAGCACCAAAACAATACGACGCCGATGTCCGACTTCACTATTATCTCTGTCCTTGTGTTGGAGGATCAGTCCTTCATGGCCACCAAAACTGAAGATATGGCGGTAGAAAACTCACCTACATAATCATTTTGCTTTGTCCATTGATACCCTAACCACGTAGTAATCTGTCAATATCGGTGATCTTTAAAGGCAGGCAATTGTTTTCTCCATGCCACTGATCGCTTGTTTCTCGACGTGACACATTCCGTCATCATTCACACTCGTGATATCTACGTTTTCCAACCCCGGGTCGCTCAAGCGATGCCATTAGCTGCCTTTCTTGATGTTAGCGTCTCAATAAACAGCTCATTTTTCAATTTGCGCATTCCCAGCGACAACTTGGAGAACAGCAACCCAAGCAACAACTTTTGATCGAGCATTCGCCGCTCATTGGTATCAACTGAGCCTTCGGACACCACAGGCCTGAGCGACACGCACTATGGCTGATAAGCACTTTGACGCTTTCGATCAACCGATGCGAGCCACCATCGCCTATGACAACGGCAAGACGCTCATGGCGCAGGGACCACTAGCGCTCCACGATCACGTCGCCTCCAGCATGGAAAAGGCTTTAGGAAAGGCTCTCCCGCAAATGGAAGTACGCTTCAAGAACGTCTCCATCTCGGCTGACATTGTTGTCAAGGATGAGACCGTTGTCAAGACGGAACTACCCACGCTCACTAACGAGCTCATGAAGAGCATTCGAAGTATGGGCGCCAAGAAGCACACGGTCAAGAAGCAGATCCTTAAGGACGTCAGCGGGGTCTTCAAGCCAGGTACCATCACGCTCGTGCTAGGGCAGCCTGGATCCGGCAAGTCTTCGCT